TTCTGAGGATTCAGGAGAGCCACTAGCAATTACAGCCATAACCAATCACAAAGTTCAAATGTATATTGGAACCTCTCTTTCATGAAGGAACTTCCAGGCTGACAGGGATATGAATGCTAAGTAAGGAAGATTAGAGAGGAAAGGAAAAGGAAGAGACATGTCAATTTTGATCGAGGCCAAATGCCACAACTGTAGGTAACTGAAAATGATTACCCAAAAGTTTCCTAGTGCCTAGCTAATAGCTATGTCTATTTAGTTTCCGGTAATAGATATAAACTAATTATCCGAAACTGAGCTACCTCGGCACATATAAACCCTTTCTCAAAATCAGTATGGATTGCCCCAGCTGCCTGAGGAGCCTTCGTCTGCCGCCTGATTTGCCAACATTTCACCTGCCAAAGTATATCTTTCAGACATTAGCAAGCAAAAAAAAAAAAAAAAAAAAAAAACAGTATAGCAAGTACAGCGACTGAGACTATCACAGATACCAAATAATCAAACTTCAAACCCCCTACGGCATTGTGCATTTCAAATACGGTCACAAGATAATACCAAATAAATAAAAATTGAGTTTTTTTTTTCATGATGAATAAGAGGAATCCCTAGTACACAGTTACATTACCTCATCAGGGCCAGCAGTGAAGAAGTAATTGAGATTGATTGCAGAGAACCCGGTCTTAATAATTTTAGGAAGAGCACTGCAAAATAATCAGCTTATTTTAATCAATAAAGCAATATGGAGTAAACAGGAGCCTAAACCCAAATGGAAATAGAACGATTGAGTGAAGCAACCAGGACTACATCATCCATACAAGCTAAGAATACTTAATAGTAAACACGGTTGAAAGAGAAAATTGTTATATATATGTTCTTGTGACTACTTCAACAGATAGGAACAGAGAACATTTCAACCGGCTTTACAGCGATACAGAAGCCAGTTTCCTCTAAATTCTAATCACTAACCTTTGTACCTTGTTCTCCTCACAATACTTAGCTGCTTCATCTGGTGGCATATCAGTCAGATTCCTCTCTAACACACAGCTGAAAGGAATAATGGGTTCACCCCCGTGTTCCTGCACCCTGAAAGAAACAAAATGACCGACTTTAAGAAATTTTTAGAATGCCAATTTTACATAATAATTGCTGAATAGATGGGAATACCAAGCATGAATCTTCGGCAAGAACTTGTTCTTTTTCCTCTGGTAGTCTTTCTCATTCATGTTTACCTGTACACGGTACAGAAGGCAGAGATTCGAATAATTAAATATAGCAGTGCAAGAAACTAACCTATGGCTATGAGAACTATAAACATGGTTGATGCTAAGAAAAGGGATGCCCTCATTGGGTATGGTACATTAAGAAATATTTTGGGACATTTAAGGGCTGTCTCCCCTTGGCAAATAGAGTGACTTCAGCTCAGCTAACTTCCTAAGCCCTTTGGAGGGGCGTTTTAACGTGGCAGCAAGTTCGTCTTTGTGAAAGAAAAAGAGGGTGGAACTGTCGTTCGGGCTAGCAGTTGTGACACTAAATAAATTAACGACAAAGGATTGCAACTGAACAGAGAGACACCAAGGGAGTCTATCACAAGGGATAAGGGTCATAAGGAATACCAACCAAGTAAACAACAGGCTTGGCAGTGAGCAACTGGAAAGTATTCAATATCTCAATATCAGCAGCTTTCCAGTCTCCAAGGCGCACATCTTTCTCATCCTGAAGCCATGCCTTGACCTGGGGAAAAAAAGACAATGAATCACGCCAATTGGACAAATATTGATTTGAAACAAAACGCATTGGCTATGTGAATCCTATAAGAAAGGGAACCAAAAGCAAAAAAACTTAGGAGGTCAGATCTGAAAGTCTCCTACGTGTTAAGCTACTGCTTCCGAATCAATATGATAAACTGGTACAAGAACTCATAGCAACATGATAACACATGACGATAAAGCTATAATCTCATCTATAAATGTATCTGAACTCATAGAACACAAACCCTTTGGCACAACTCGAGCTCTATCTTCAACTGCTTGTCATTGCTCCTCTTCATGCTCTTTTCAATATCCTCAATCCTCCTCTCCATGAATTCAACATCCTATGTCACGAATTAAGAACAATTTTTAAAACAGAGCTTTTGAAACAATAAAGAACTCCCTAATTCAAATACCATGCACCATAACAGATACCTTTAGTCGCAACTCAATCCCTATAGTTTCCAGATCTCTGACAGGATCCACCGAGTCGTCGACATGGATAATATCTGAATCTTCAAATGCACCTATTGCATGCCAACGTAAATAATAGATATTAGTTCTAGGAGATTGATTGAGAGAAAACAAGAAAAGCACAGGAACTATTACAGTTTATTCCATAGAATACTACCATAAACAACTAGCACACCGCCTAGTGCATTCAATGTAGATGCAAGAAACCTAACTTACGCTACTGGAAGCCCCTTTTGTGGACTATCTTATAGCTAACCATCTAATGTAGGTACAAACCACAAAGCCCCAAGAATCAAATAAACAAGAATCACACAATCAACTAGGAAGGCTATCAAGCAGCAGTGGTCTTCTGTACTCCTGTAAAGAAAATGTGATTGGATGTAAAACCATCATAGTGGAAACACAGCAGTCTCTACCCAGAATCTCCTGCTCGATTATAAGCCCACAATCACAAGAAAATATAAGCTTCCAAGTGGCGATCCTCGGGATTCATAGATGTTTTCCATGAAACAGATAAAGTACTGAGCCTCTTACGTAGGACATGGAAGATGCCATCAACAGCACGGATATGTGACAAGAAGTTGTTGCCCAACCCCTGTCCTTGGTGAGCACCTCTAACGAGCCCAGCTATATCATGGATTTCAAGAAATGCGGAAACCTGGAGAAAATGTGGTAATGTAATAGCCAGAACATTGATGTGTTTTGCTAAGTACGGATCATGACACCCACAAAGCTGTAAATCACATAAGCAGCAACTAAGCAAGATGCTGGGTACAACAGATCACAGCAACTGCATCAAGAAGATTGCAAAGTTAAGAGACGAACCTCGCTTTTCGGCTTGAAAGATTGGCAAAGCCAGTCGAACCTCTCGTCGGGAATATTAATTCGAGCCTCATTAGGTTCAATGGTGCAGAAAGGGAAGTTCTCGGCGGGAATGGACAACTTCGTCAGGGTATTAAAAAGAGTCGATTTCCCGACATTAGGCAATCCAACCTGAAGCCGAAGAACACCAGCAGCGACGACTGAGTATTAAGAACGCTCAACCACATGCAAGCGAAAGAAAGAAGAAGCCGAAGAAGAAGAAGAAGAAGAAGAAAGTAAGCATTATTACTATGCCAATCTTAAGATGGGATGAGAATCGCCCGAGGATCGGGCGCTCCGCCGGCGCCTCCTTCGATTTTGCGGCTTTCGGAGGCATTTCTGGATCTGTGCGAGTGTGACGATGAGCTGAGAAGTTACGCACGCAGTCGTCCTTCGTTCTAGGGTTTTGTACCTAATCACTAAACTAAACGAATTATTTGCTTCCTAGATTTTAAAATGAAGATTTTGGTAGCATTCTAGTTCTAAAAACTCATAGGTATAAAAGTGTTATAAATTTATTATTATTATGAATTTAAAAGTAGCATTGTTGTTTATAAATTTGATGATGGATTTAGTTACTTATCAGATTTATATATAGATAAAGTTAGAGGTGGAAATTCTAAATTCAATCCACTAATTCATTAAAAATATTTAACTAATTCAATATATTTAAATCCAATTAATTTGATCCAAATCCAATTAGATTGGTGGATTCATGGATTGGGTCCATGGATCATTGGCAAATTATAATTTAGTATCTATAATTTTCATTTTTTTACATTTTGATGCCTAAAATTTAATTTTTTATACGAAAAATATCATTGGAAAATTACATTTTGGTACCTAAATTTTTTTCTTGTGACATTTTAGTACCTAAACTTTTTACATTTTACATATTGGCCCAAGGTTGAGGTCCTGAGGATGTCATTTGGATTCATGAATAATCCATCAATCCACTTGATCCAATCCATGAATTCACCAATCCATTTGATCCATTGATTCACCAATCCACGAATCCAATCCATTTGCCACCTCTAGATGGAGTAAAAGTGATCTTCATTTTTTTTTTCTTCAAAAGGTACTTTGTATTAAATGAGATAAACGAGACGTACTAGAGTCAGCTGGCCGACCAAAGCTCGTAACGAAAATCGAACCCCTGTTGAGTCATCCCGAATATTAGGGGTGGTTATACGGTTCGCTCCGGTTAAATTGGCACAGATTGATCCGGTCCCGGTCCGATCTTTTCATGAATATGAGGACCGAAGATTGGATTGGATGCAGTCCGATCCGAGTTATACGATCCGGTTTCGGGTAAAACCAAAAAACCCAAACCAAATAGCCACCCCTACCGAATATCACAATAAAAATCTCAATTAAGGCGTAAGTATAAACTTTAACCGGCTGCAATATAGGAAAAATATGTTTTAAACGTCAAACCGGGCCGATCTATGTAGTGACATATGTACCTCAAATACCAGATATCATTTACTTGTCAATTGCATGCCTTCTTGTCGTTAGGGTGAGGGCAGCTTACCCCAATATCGTTTCCTCTATTCTTGTTCCTAGCTTTAGCCATTCCTTATATAACAGTACTGCTTAACGGGCGTCGGCCAGGTATGGACGATACCTTCTACGACCGCTATATTGCAAACCTAACAATCATATATTTGTTCCTAACAATGATAAGTATACCACTACTTCGGTTAGTAGTTGGAGTGTGTTGTTTTTATTACTCAATCTCACATCATTGTGGCATCAATTTAAAAAGTGCTTTGACAGCACACCAGAAAATCTGTGCGCTGCCCAAAATTTTTGACTAGCTGTTCAAAAATTATGATTAATCTCCCATAAGTCTCTTATTTCTCTCCTCATAATATTTCCGATATATAACAAATGAAAAATCCTTTTCAAACACTAACAGTAGAGCACAATAATTTTTTTAGTTGTGAAACTAGTGAAAAACATGTTAAAATTTTGTGTAGTTAACTCATTCATAGCGAAAATCACATTGTAAAATATTTTAGCTTAGATTTTATTTTGAATTGTTTTAATCATCTAAAAAATGTTTTGAGTGGATATAAAAATATTGAATTTTACTACCAAAAAAAAAAAATATTGAATTTAGTTGTTATTTGGATTTTTACTTTTTTTTTTTTAATAATTCACCTTGAAAATTTTGGGCCTCTCTATATCAGTTCATGTCCCGTTCTTGATGTATAAATTAATGAAAACAATTTCACTAACCAAATATACCATCATATACTATCGTGGTTCATGTTGTGAAAGTAGACGGTGATGAAATGGATAAATTATAGTTAGTATATTTCAATTATCATGCATACAATTGTTTTATACTATGATATATTCATATCACTAAAATACACTTTCATGTCACCATTGGTATAAGCAAGATCGAAGCACCTAGAGCTTCTAACAGAGTAGCTCGCCGGCTTCCCAAGCCACGTCTGAGCGAGAAGGAAGTTTCGGATTTGCCAGTGGCGCTCTTCTCGGGACACAGGTTGGGTTGGAGAAAGATTGTCAAACCGGTTTAAGTCATTGAGCCGTTCAAGCAAGGGGTTTGAGGTTTAATGGTCTGATCGGGGTCCGACCGGTTTGAGTTGTTTTCTAAATAAACATACAAATAAGCTAGTAATTAAAGATTTAATAACCGGAATGAAATTTATCTTACATGTATCTATTAAAAATATATTTTCCACAAAATAAATCTGCCTAATCTCTATGATCCACCCACCAACTCCCTTTCTTTCGTTCCTCTTCCTCTATTCCTCCTCTCTTCTTCTCCTTATTTAGGTCAGACCGGGTGACTTTCTGGAAGCTATTTTGAAACCTGATTTACATCGATCCGGATCCAACCAAAGGTTCGATAGGGGTTTCGGAGTATCTGATGTGATTGGTAATTGCTCACCCTATCCATTCGTGAACCCAACAATTAACAAAACAAAACGGAGAAACCAGATTTCCCAACCAAAACGACGTCTCAGAGCAATCGCAACACAGCAGAAAAAGCCGCCCAAACGGCTACTATTATAAATAAAAAAGGGGAAACGGCTCTGTTCTTCCTTGTCCTTTTCAATTTCACTCACTCTTCTGTTGTTTCGCCTTTCTTCTTCCTCTGCTTTTTTCCTTTCCCTCACAAACGGCAAAAAAAAAAAAAAAAAATTCTCATTAAACAAACAACAGAATCCCCGCCTTCTTTCCTACTAACAAACTCTCTCAATCTCTGTTCCCCCACAAACTTCCTTGGCCGTTTCTCAGCAGAAACCAGAAGAGGGGAGAAACAGTGGGGATTTCTGTGTCCGCGCGATCACACCCTCTCTTTCCGTTTCTTTAGTTCGGATAAAAAGGGCCGTCACAGAAGAATTTCCGGCAATGCGGCAGAAAGAGAACGAGCAGGCTTGGAGTTGCGATCGGAAAGTTCAAGCTCGGGGCTTCGTCACCCCGCCGCCGCACACTCGTGCCCATCGCCGTCTCTTTCCGCCGCCGCCATTCTCGGAGAGGAAGATGGTCTCCTCCTCCTCCTCCGCCAACGCCAACTCTTCACCCGTTGGGAGTTGCAAGCACGACCTCTTCCATGTCATTCACAAGGTCCCCGCCGGCGATTCTCCCTACGTCAAGGCCAAACACGTTCAGGCAAGTCAAACCCAAACAAGTCCACCTTTCTTTCTTTATGTTCTTTTCTGGGTGTCTCAGTTCTGGATGAATTTCGAATTTGAAACGCCGCCTGGAAAAAAAAGTTCTCTATTTCTTGAGTTTTGTTGAACGTCTTTGGAGTTTTTCGCATGCCAAGTGTTCTGATGATTGCCTCTGTGGAATTCTCTTTTTTTTTTTTCTTTTTCCTGGGTTCGTTCAGTTGATTGAGAAGGACCCGAGCAGGGCAGTCTCCATGTTCTGGGCCGCCATTAACGCTGGTGACCGAGTTGATAGTGCCTTGAAAGACATGGCTGTGGTGCTGAAGCAATTGAATCGTTCTGATGAGGCAATTGAGGCCATCAAATCCTTTCGTCATCTCTGCCCTCAAGAATCTCAGGAATCCATTGACAACGTGCTCGTTGAACTCTACAAGGTAGTTTGGTACAAACCCAGATATCGATTTCTTTCTACTTCCCATACTTGGAGAACACGGCCCTGACCCTGTTTCTTTTTGTTGATGATGTTTGTGTTGTTTATCTTGCAGAGGTCAGGAAGGGTAGAGGAAGAAATTGAAATGCTTCAGCGCAAGCTGAAGAACATAGAAGAAGTAATGGTGTTCGGTGGGAGAAGGACAAAGGTCGCCAGGTCTCAAGGCAAGAAGATTCAAATAACCGTTGAACAAGAGAGGGCTCGAATTCTAGGAAACTTGGCCTGGGCTTACTTGCAGCAGCACAATTATGGCTTAGCTGAACAACATTACAGGTATGTAACTGGAACTTGGCTGTGAATACCCAAAAAAAAAAAAAAAGAGTAACTCTCCATTCTTGTTCTGATGGAAATGGAGTTCGTTAATTCTTCTTCTGCAGGAGAGCTCTGTCCCTGGAGCCTGATAGGAACAAGCAATGCAACTTGGCAGTGTGTCTGATGCACATGAACAAGCTCCCTGAAGCAAGGGCTCTGCTTCAAGCCGTAAGAACTTCTTGTGGGAACAAACCAATGGAGGAATCTTACGCCAAATCGTTTGAGCGTGCTTATCAGATGCTGACGGAGTTGGAGTCACGCCAATCAAGTGATGGACGTCCTTCTGCTTCTTCTTTGCAAACGCAACCAGTTGGTGATCACCATGGCTGGACGGAATGCCCCTATTTTGCTGCTGCTACTCCTCCTCCTCCACCTCAAAGCTTTGGCATCCTCATGAACAGCGGAAGGCACCGCCATAGGCAGAATTGCTATGCTTCAACGACACCTGTGCTGTTCTCTCAGCCGAGAAGGTGTTTATTCGGAAGTTTGGGAGCAGAGGGATTCCCAAGTAGTACTACAAATCATGGAGAGCAGCAACAGTTGAGTGGGGGAGGGACTGGAGTTACTGTGTTGAAAATTGAAGCGAGTATGGTCACCCCTCGGCTGAAATCTCAGCCAAGATGGGTGACCGCTTCTTCTTCACCTTCGCCTGCTGAAAGAGACTGGAGGAAGCCGTGGACACAAGCCGCTGCGGCCACTACTCCCGGGAACAATGACAATAATAATATACTGGTGAAGTTTCCAGTGGGTACGAACAAGAGTTGGGCTGAGATGGTTGAAGAAGAGGAGGCCGAAGCAGAGCTGGGAAAGCTACCAGCAGGTTGGAAGGCTGATGATTTAACAGGAACTCTGGGCGAGAACTGGGATGCAAACGTGGCTAATGATGAAAAGAGCTGGTATACAAAGAACGAGCAGCAATCTTCCCAAACTGATGGAGGTGGTATATCGAGGACAACAGCCGCATTGAGACGCCTGTGCTTCGACGGAGCTGGGAAAAATATGAACACCACGACGACTAAGAGAAGAAACCGTCTTCAGGTCTTCAAGGACATAACCCCAACTCCAGATAGTCCACGAGCATCTTCTGCGGCAATGTTAATGAATAAGAAAGAAACTGCACTCTAAATTCGTTGATTCTTTTGTAAATGGTGATTTGTATATCATTCCTTCAATCATTCTTTCAATGTAATACATACAAGTGACGAATAAATAATTCTCCTCCCCGGAGGACTGTTTTCCAGATCCCATTTGCAGTGCAGATACCAATTACTGTCTCCCTTTTTGTACTAACCATACAAGAATTGCGTAGCATTCACTCAGAAGGGGGACAAGACCTGAACTGAGTAGCAGAAACATGAGGGGAGAAAAGATCAATTAACTTAATGGATCGTATTGAGCCAGGACAAAATTGATCAGGATCTCTCATCTGTCTATGTAAACCTGAGTAGTACAGAGAGGGATCTGAAGTTGCTCAGTCAAAATTTAGATACATCCTCCTCCGAAAGCTTTAATCGGTGAATCGCAACTCCATTTTGAGCATCAGAAATCTTCCCCCATCTTCCCAGACGAGGTTCCTATTGCAGAACGAACAGATGATCTGTCAGCTTATTATTACGAGGCAAGGATATGAGAGCATATTATCGAAACAAACAAACCAGAATCTGCATATTGAGAGTTCATGTTACCTTGCCAATGCCAACAACGAGGAACTTTCCAGATTTTGCAAAAGCCATGGAGTTTACAAAGCCAACCTGTGTGTGTTCAGAAAGAAGAGAGCTTGTTAAGTAACATCAAAAGGAGTATGCAGGATGAAATAATGCATAGGAAAGAGAATGTCAAATGAAAATGTTGGTATATGATTTGTTTGCTAACCAGAGGAAGATCAAACAAGGGTCGGATGACTTTAGGAGAACTATCAATAGCCCATAAACGGACTGAACCATTGCCAGCTCCTGATGCTGCCAAGTCGCTTCCTCTGCATGCAGCAACTGAGCTTACCCAGGAATATGCTGATGACAGTAATGATAATGTGTGAGTGGGATGATTAAATAACTAGGGACATTAAAAGTTGAGCACCTCATGATATAAAACCATTTTTTGTCCACAATGACCACCAGCAAGAAGCAGGTTACGTCCATCACCATTAGAGGGTTTCCGGTTGTCCTTTTCTTCATCCCTGATGTCAGATGGCAAAGCATGAGCGTCCCTGATACAGTCCACGGGCTTCTTCCTTTGTACAGTCCGCAGCTCAACACTCCCATCATCCGAGCCAGAGAAGAAATCCTCATAATCAATTAAACAACAGCTCTCTAAAGCCGAGGTAGAAGAACGAAAAATTACTCGGGACTCCTCAGGGACCTGTGTGCAAAATCCAGATATGAGATGTCCGTATTACACCCAATTGAAAGTAGAATTTAATACAGGACATAAACCGAGAGAGAAGATGTAATGGTTTGGGATGCCACTCTACAGTAGCATGCAGAAGAAGATGCATAATATAGGCCATTGGAAACTTGTAAGTCCCAGCCCATATAAACGCTTATAACAACTTTAAACCACGAGTTAACCATGGATCAAAATGTCAAGACAAATTGAGAAGTGTTCCTCTTTTGTACCTTAAAAAACTGCATAGTACGATCACGTCCAACAGCCAATACCCTTTCTTTCCGTAGGCAATCAACATTTAAAACGTCACTTTGATGACCAAATAATGTGCTTATGTAAGTCCTGTCTGCAACATTCCATATCTTGATCGATCTATCAAATGAACCAGAAAAGAGTTCTGAAGTCCCATGCCTAAATGCTAGACATGACACAGCTCCTCTGTGGCCTGGGAAAGCCTGGAAGACATTTAACAAGGATTCAAATGAGAAGAACAGTAGAATCACACAAATTCATAGATAGGCATATTTGACAAATAAGATATAAGAAACCAGCCAAGATACCTGAACATGTTCACGTGCCCGAGTGTCCCATAAGTGAATGTGCCGATCTGACCCTCCACTAGCCAAATACCGGCCATCTGGGCTAACAGCTAAAGCCAAAACACTTTTACTATGTTTTGTAGCTCGACCTTCTGGATCCTTGGCTCCATGGGACTTCAAAATTTTGTCAGTTGGCCATTTGTATCTTTCTCTTTTCCCACTCTCTATATCCCAACTAACGATTGAACCATCTTTGGAAGCAGAAAAGCCCCTCAATTCATCATCTGATAGGCACACTGCAGTGACAGGATGTGTGTGCTTCACTAGGTACCGGAATCCATCACCAGTTTCAGGCTTCTGAACCCTAAACCATTGACGAAAGTAAGTTGCCATCCAAATACAAACACATTCCACTGGTCAAATTCTAGCACAAGCTATATATATCTACATCTTGAATGGCTCGAAATGTCAACAGAAGGAATGTGCCACAATCCATTCACTGATACCAAAGAAGAGTGTCTCGTTTTTAGTAACGAATGCTTGAAACTTTAATAAACCTCAAAGGAATAAACTTTGTTCATAAAAAGAAACCAAACGTATAGTTTCTTCAACTAGCTTACCTAGAAGCAACATCCCTCCTCAAGCGCCCACTCTCCTCCAACTGTTCCTTCATCAACTTCCTAGCAACTAAGGAATCTCTCTCGCCTTCCTTCTCATACCCTTTCCCTTCTTCCACTTCCCCATCGTCCTCCTCTGCCCTCTTCTTCTCAATAGCCATAAGATTTTGCAGAGCCTCTTTCCCAAGCCTTACCTTCTTCTCGGCGGCTGTCTCATCGGCGTATTCATCAATCTCTTCATCCTCATCGCCGTGTCCGGAGCTCGCGTCCGAGCCAGGGTACCCATTCTCCTGGTCTGACTCCCCTGACTCAATATCATCATCGCGGAAACCCCCCTTCCGCCGCCTCTTCGTATCGGGCTTGAAAAATGAATCGCCATTGCTCTTGGACTTGTTTGGACCTCCCGGGCCTCGCTTCGCCGGAGCTTTGCCCTTCATGAGTAAGAAATTATCAGGGCGTCAGGGTAGAGAAGCAAAGCAACCCTTCTGGCAGTTGTAGAAATCTGGTAAAGCCGCGACTTCGAAAGTTGCAGGATAGTCAGGGGGAAACTGGGGAGGTGTATTAGGGCATTCTGTGGAGAAAGCTGCACAGGGGTTTAACGTTAGGGTTTATTTGTCTCGGTGGAAAGGAAGCGGCAAAGTGATCACGGAAAGGAAGCAGGAGGAAGATCTGGGTCTGGTGGTCGGATCGTGCAATCTACAGTTAATCGGGTTCTCTCAGGTGAAAGGCTGTTAATACATAGGCCGGGGGCCCAATGGCGTTCTTATACAGGCTTACTCTTCGTGTCAGACTAATCATATTCAAGGTATTATACCGATAATTATGGGAAATGTATATATTTTGGATCATAATACGGGGCTCTAGAATTGACATTTCTATGTGTCGTCAATGGAAAATGAGAGGAATAGGATGAAACCAAGTGAAGCATTTACAGTTTGAGGTATGGACTGATGTTTTTGTTGATAATATCATAGTTGTAAAAATGTCACGACGATATGATGCTCATATGTCATAAAATAATTCTTACTATAGTGCTAATATTGTCATACGATGACGATATGACAGCTAAGAAGTATTATCATTGTGATAATATTTTCATATGATGATACTAAAGAGTGTTTTTTGGACTTCGTTTTTTGTTGGAACTCATATATTAGTTTTATCAAGTTCATATCAATTCATATTGATTCGTATCAAGTTCATATCAATGCAATATGAAAATCAAATCAGATCCTATCAGTTCATTTGAAGATTATTTCATATTATATCAGTTCGTATCCAGTTCATATCATGTTCATATTAAGGTCATATCAGTTTATGTCAATATCGTATAAGTACATATCATATGTTCATATCAGTTCATATCAAGTTCAAGTAAGTTCATATCAAGACCATATGCTTGTGGTATGCTGATGATATATGACGATGATACGATCATATGTTAGTGGTATGACAAAGTAGATTTTGAAAATTTTCACATGTTTCAAATTAAACAAGGTATAACATACTAGATTATTAGCTAAAACCAATCCCAATTACATTATCTAGGTGCTATAATAAAGGGAAGTGTTCTAAAGGTTAACTTTTAACTTATATTGAAAGTACCGACCAAATGAAACAAAACTGAAAATTGTCTAAGATACATTGGGACATAAAATTTCTAGTTTTCTTGTGGTATCATGTTCTCACAAATACATCTTTGTTGCTATCTTGAAGATCCTTTCGTGCTCCAGATTATCTTTGTCGGCTACGATGTCTGTGATTAGCTTGTCTCTTGATGCATTCATGAAGTCAATATCCTCCCATTGAGTTCTCATATATGCCTCATACTTAGCTTCCATTTCTCAGACCATTTTGATTACAAAAATTCCACATTACTTGTTATTAGGCTTGTTATTAGGCTGTGTAACATTCTTCAAATCGGATTCACTAAATTCTTCAAAGTCAATTTGTTTGAGTACTGGTATGTATTTGGTGACATACTGATAGACCTCAAAATCTAGGGTGCGCGAAACGCGATGAAATTGGGAATGAGTGTAGATCAATTAGGGACTGATCTCGGGATTGGAAATTGAAAGAACGAGTTGAGAGAGAGAGGAAGAAGGGTTCGGTCGAAGCCTAGGGAAGAGAGTAGGGGTTTCGGCTAGAGAGAGGAAGAACAGAGAGAGAGGATTAGGGTTTTGATATTCTTATAATCTTATTATGCTTAATCATAAACCCGAATTACAGCGATACTTATACTAATCGACAATTATCCCCTTTACTCCCCAAAATAATAACCTAATCATAATACTCCCTCCCCAACAATGGATCAACATAATAATCCGAATAGTAAAACGACAATAAACCGACAATTAAATAATAATCCTAAAATATGTTCATCATCCCCTTCCCCTTGAAGCACAACCTTGCCCTCAAGGTTGATCCTTCTCATCTCGATCCACCTTCATTTCCATGCCATCTTCCTCATCCACTTCATCCTCCCAACGCCCCAAGAGCATCATCATATCTGGCTTCGCGCACTGGTGTCCAACAACGAACTTTTCATTGCAGTTGAAGCATTTCCCTTCCCTCCTCTTCTGCTCTATTTCTGCAGGGGTTAAGCGAACAAACCCCTTTGGTGGCGCTTGAATCCCTGCACGATTATCCCAGGTCCTGCTGCCCCGACGAATCCAGCAGCAGTGCCAGCACTACCCACGGAACCTCCTTCGCTTCTTCCCGCCGCCACGACTGGTCCGCCACTCCCGCTCGACTTCGAGTACCTCCCCACCGCGCTCCGCCAGCTTTCAATCTCCTCCTCTTTGAGCCCTGCCAAATGGAAAACAGACCTCAACGAGTCAGGCTCGAAAACTCTTACCGCTGCAGCAATCTCCGGACTCAGCCCCGCCATGCACAACCCGACCAAGGTCTCTTCCGGAACTCCCTTGCACTGGTTCCCCAACTTAAGGGACTCTGCCTTATACTCAGCGACTGTTCCTGTTTGCCTCAACTTTGCCAGTTGCTCTGGCGCCCAGCCATCCGACTTGCCAAACTGATAACGAACCTCTTCCTGAAATTGAGGCCACGATATGGGTGTCCTCATCTCCGTGTATGTCCTCCCCAACCACTCCCACCACTGCAGTGCAGCACCTTCTAAGTAGAAGGACGCCAGATAGGCTTTCCTCTCCTCGCACACATCATGGTTCTTGAACCACTTGTCAGATGCATACAACCATAACCCAGCATTCTCCTGGCCATTGAATTTTGGAAATTCGATGGTTGGAGGTTTAACTCGAAACACCAAATCACCATAACCCTCATAGTTCGAGCATTCCCTCCATACTTGCCGATATCTGGGGTCGTTGCACGGAAGTGCGGTCGTTTTTGCTCCCGCTCCGAACTCCAGGTGCCACCATACTCTTCTCTCCTACTCATCTCCTTTCCCCCGCTTCCCTGCTCAAACTCCAACTGCCTCTCCATAGTCTCATCCTCCATTCGAGCCGCCCCGTAGGGAAGGTAGTCACCTCCCTGCTCTTCCCGCTCCATCCGCCAGTCTCCTTTGCCGCACCCAGTCTGCCCGCCTCCTGGTCCGAAATCAGTCCGGTTAGGAAATGAGGTTGGACCATTCCACCCTGACCCTGTTCGGCCGAACTGATTGTGAATGAAGTTGTCATACCCATCCATCTTTGACTTCCGCTTCCGTGCCGTCGCGATCTCCTGCTCAGACGGAGTTGGCAACAGCCCGTTGCCCTGCCTAGCTCCCGCGCCCACGGACGTCGTGTGATTCCCCGTTGCAGCTTGGCGGGGTGTGGGGCTCTCTGCGGACGACTCCTTCACCTCGTGCTCCTTTGCGATCGCGCCCGCGTCTCCATGGTTGCGGTCTCCCTGTATCTTAACTGCCACCTCTTCGAGCTCCACCTCAGTCGACGCTCTAGTCTCCTTTCCTGCATCGATGCTTCCTTCTGGGGATAGTCCCCCCAAATAACTGTACCAGCACTTTTGAGAGTAACAGCACCATCCGACCTGCGTTCACGTTAGCTTTTTCAGCAGCTAACCTTGCGTTCTCTACAACCTGGTGGATGGAACGGTTAACCTCCTTCAGCCCTTCCTCTAGGTTTCCTTGCATCCTGGAGACCTTGAATATCTCTGACCGGACCTCAACCCAATATGGCTCTTCGACGCATTCCCCGTCGCGTGGCGGTTGCATCAGTGCCTTTTCCTTGCCATGCGCCGCCTTGGTCCCCTTCACCGCGGTGACCGCGGCTGCCTTGTCTCCTGGTTTATGTGCGGTGGTCGACGTGGTAACCTTGTCGCCACCAGCTTTCTCTTCTAGTGCTCTTGTGGTAGTCATATTTGATAGTTCTCCACACCCAACCGGTCTGATACCAAGATGATAGGCCCCAAAATCTAGGGTGCGAGAAACGCGGTGAAATTGGGACTGAGTGTAGATCAATTAGGGATTGATCTCGGGATTGAGAATTGAGAGAGAGAGAGAGAGAGAGAGAGAGAGAGAGAGAAAGAAGGGTTCGGCCGAAGCCTAGGGAAGAGAGTAGGGGTTTCGGCTAGAGAGAGGATTAGGGTTTTGATATTATACTAATAAACAATTATCCCCTTTACTCCCAAAATAATAACCTAATCATAATACTCCCTCCCCAACAATGGACCAACATAATAATCCGAATAGTAAACCGACAATTAAATAATAATCATAAAATGTGTTCATCACATACTTAATGACATTCATCACTTTATTTTTAGTATGGCATGAATGGTCTATTTTTCAAGGAAGCCTATCCATGAACGGGATTTTCTTCCATGATATGTTGACACAAGTCATCACGACATGATCTTTATCGCATTAGGGGAAGAACCACTATAGCAAATAAGGTAACTTGTGATACTGAAAGTAGATTCAAATTTTGTTATGTTATAATGATTGTATGATATGTTTTTTACTAGGTTGCAGCTTGAGAAATTCTTATGTTTCGACCAGTCCCTTTCATCAATATATTCCAATGCCTTTTTGAAATAGTATTGATCATCTTTGTCTTTCAGTTTTTCATACAAAGCAACATGTTCTTCCTTCTGTGTAATGAATAGAGGGTTTTAGTTAATGAGAAAATATGAATATGGTTTAATCAATATTGGAGTCTAAATGTCTTACTACAAATGATTTCATCGAAGAAGCACTGGTTGATTTCATCAGATTCTGCTTGTAATATGTTCTGATAGTCACAATACCAATTGATGATATCAACTTATAGTGGCTCGTCATAGCAAATGGTTTGCATCTCAATTCTAGACAGTGGACAAGTTCCATCAGTCCTCCTAAAGATTTTCTCATCCCTATTAATTGTATTTGAGAATTTGTTATTACTTACATATTTCATACCAAGATCACATCAAGATCGTATAAGTGTGTATCAAGATCATATTAGTTCATATCAATATCGTATCAGTTCATGTCAATATTATATCAATTTCATGTTAGTTCAAAAAGTTCATATCAACTTGGTATTGAGATCATATCAGTTCATATTAACTTTATATTAGTTCATATTAATGATCATAACAAGTAAATTTGAATTGACTGAATTACTTACATATTTCCTTGGCACTTGACATAATACAGGATGTTATAAACCATGTCAATCTTGTTGATCATGAGTGGTGTTCTTATCACTAGCGGTGGAGTAGGTTGCCCACCTAACTCTTGCCATGGTTATTCCTCTGACAGGATTACTTCATGTGAATCAGACAAATTGAGGTACTTAATGTAGTCTTCTACAACAAATACACTTTATAAATCCCATTCAGCTCTCAAGTTGTCCTCATCAATGCTTTTTACATTGCTAACTTTCACCTTCTTGTTGTCAGCCTTAACAGTGGTTTTGGGTTGCTGAGTTTTTTTTTTATGGATAATAGCATGTTCGCAATAACCTAAAATTTTGTTGGCTTCTTTGGTGCTTCAAGTTCTTCGACGATTGAAGTAGTAGTTGCATCGATGATTGGACAAGGTGATGGTTCTTGTGTACTAGTGACACAAAGATCAAATGATGGAATGTCGTTGTTTGTAGTAGTGGCATTGGTCCCCTCCTTTTTGTTGGGACTATTATTGCCTTCTTCTTTTGGTTCGTGTCTTTGCCAATCTTCTTATGAGTTGTGGTGTGGCTATCTTTGTTGCTTTGAATTGTATCATTGCATTCCATATTCTCAGTTTTCTCATTATCCTTGCTGGTCTTTTCTTCGCCACTGTGTGCTTCTTTGTTGGTCTCCTCTTCTTAAAAAAGTGCGTTCTACCAAGTTCTTTCCCTTGTTGATGCCATGGGTTGTTGTATTAGCTTCCTTTTCAATTGGAGTATCATCGTGCTTTTTGATCTTAGGGGTCGTTTGGTTTTGGTGATAGTTAAATAGATGCATTGTCATCAATGTATGCATAATAATATACATGTATATTAGAAAATCGGTGTATTGTAGTTTGGATCGTTTAGTTTATGTGATAGTTATTGTGTTATTTAAATATGTTATATTACTTTTTGGATGAAATGTCACTTTTACCCTTTGTTTGTAATATAAAAAAGCAATACACATAAAAAGGTAGGGACAAAATTGGAAGAAAAAAACACACAACAATCTCAACAATCTCACCAAAAACTTGAGATTTAACTATCACTCATTTTGAGTGATAGTTTGTGTCACATCAAGCAAACAATGCATGCATTGTTTGTGCAAAAAATTCAAAATAACGATGCATTGTGAACAATGCATGTATTGTAACTATCTCAACCAAACAATCACCAAAACCAAACGACCCCTCAGAGTTTATGGTCTTAACATCATCATTAAGGGATTCTCCTTGTTGAGTATCATTGCTTTTTGTGGGACCAATAATAGGAAGGTCAATTGGCGGGTAAAATACATCGTGTACCACTAAAGTATAAGAATTGGGGGAGCTATACCACTTAACTAAGAATATTTAGAATCAATTTTTGAATATAAAATTTAGAATCAACTATCATTATAAATATTTTCAATTATCATTATGTGTTCTTATGATTGAATAATTTCCTAAAACAAATATATCTTATAAATTCTATCTCGATATAAATAATCTGAGAATGTTATATTTAGTCTTCTTACATCATGGTGATGTTGTCTAATTTTCCATGTTAAATCTCCTTTTAATTCTCTAGGGGGTGGTTTGGATGAGGGTTTTTAATTTGAGAGATTTGGCTCTAAATCACTCATTTAAAATACCTAGAAATTTATATGCAGGATTTGTTTAAATTAACTCGTTTGGAAACTAACGAGAGATTTTAATAGAGAAACCAGAAATACAGTTTTGCCCCATATGTTCCTCAAACAAACTCCGCCAACATAACATTAGAACTCTCGACGTTGATTGGAATCGACACCGCCAACATCGACATCTGCCTAGCATCGTTGACTCCCTCCAACAAAGATGAAGGGATGTGGGTTGCTTGACGAATCCCCTAAATCTGGCCTTTATCCCCCTTCTATTGTTTGCAAAAATAATAACCCCCAAACAAGCTCTGTATTTCTACAACGATTTCACAGTCGTCGATCATCGACGAATCTCTCTACTGAAGAGCAGCAGCTGCGCAAGAACATAGCAGAAGACAAAAGGCGATTATTATGGTTGTGGGCAGAGATCAAGTGAGTTGGGTTCTTGATTCCATTTTGGAGGAGGAGAAGCGCAATCGACGACCGCTGAATTTAGAAACCGAGTTTGATTATCGTTGGTGGAGGAAGAATGAAAAAGGTGCGTTGCTGGAGGAAGAATGAAGAAGGGTCAAAGAATGAAGAAGGGTTCGTTGCTGGAGGAGGAATGAAGAAGGGTTTGCGGAGGAAGAATAAAGAAGGGTCGTTGCTGGAGGAAGAATGAAGCAGGGTTGGTGGAGGAAAAATGAAGAAGGATTCAAGAATGAATAAGGGTAAGTTTTGGAAAAATGAATTAAAGAATGAGAGATTTCAAAATAGCTGATGGTCATAAGCTATTTCACAATCCGACATATATGGGTTTTTGAAATCTCTAATGGCCACAGTCCCTAATTTGTACAGCTCTTTCCAAACGTGTTATTTGATTAAAATCCTTCATTGTATGAGATTGTTTTAAAATCCCGCATCACAATTCTTCAACAATCCTTCATCCAAACGACCGCTTATATTATATTATATTATATTATAGATGTTTCATATTAGTTAAATTTAGTAATTCTAATTCTCTTTCTATTGTCATATTTTCTTTTCTACATCTTTTACTGAATGCTGTAGCTTTTATAGTTCATTTTATTGCTTGGTTACTTTTCGTCTCTTTTCGTTCTAAATATTTTTCAATTACTGGAATATGTTTTATTCCTTATGATTGTGTTCCATTTATCTTTCTTTAGTTTTGATGTATTGATGATCGATTAGGTTCTATTTTAACTATTTCTAATGGTGCTTCTAATTAAATTAGGGTGTTTAAATAGATATTTTAATATTAATTTTAAATATTTATTATTATATTGTAGTATATTTATTAATTTTCTTAATATTCATTTATTATTTTTACTAATTTATCTATTATATTGAAAAACTTTAATTAGCCATTTTAGTAATAATATGTTTAGAAGGTTTTCTAATTTTTATATGAGATAAAAACTTGTTGAAATATAGTTTGAATATTTTTAAAAGTTTTGGGTACCAAAATGTAATTAAAATTTGAATTTGTATGGAAAAGTAGATGGATACACATTTTGTTGACTTTAAAGGTACCCGGCGCCCTATTTAAACTTAAGTGGTATATCTACCTCAATTCTCAAACTTAAGTGATACGAGGTATCTTATCTTTAATTGGTTCCTCTAAAACATGTTCCTTTGTTTGCTAGGTTGCAAGTGAACACTTCCCTCATTTGCTTTGAGATTCTCTATTTGGTCATGAACTTCCTTCATTTGAGCTTCATATATCTTCTGAATCATACTAAGTGTATGTTGTTTTGAAGTATTGAGATTCTCCATTACATGTTTGGCCTATATTAAAGAATTCAAAAATTCTATTGAACATTCATATAAAGAATTCATACCATTCATACCAACATGAAGAGTGTGGTGGTAGAGGTTTTAATAGAGATATGATTCTTGATGTTGTGGTTGCAACCATTTTGTAGGTCAATAACCTTGTTATTGATATATGTTTTTGAACTTGTTGCAGTGCTTATGTTGTGATTACCCAATATAGGCGATAAACCTAAAATTGGGTACTTGAGGAGTTATGTGTTTACTTATGTACTTAAAATCTCCTAACCTATGAGTTTGGTAGTAACAATATATGCAGTAGTACATGTTAAGATGGAACGGCTAATGTGGTATATCAACTCACAGTCAGATTTTGAGGACAAAATCTTTAAAGGAGGGGAGAATTATAACATCCCGTTCCGGCTAAATTCGTATTACGGTCGCTAGAAAATTTTAAGATTAAACCTAACAATTGTTTGAGTTTCGGTGAAACACATTAAAAGTATCTAGTCTTTTCTTACAACATAGTCCCCCAATTAGCGAGCTTGTAGTGAACGGTTGGTCAAAGAATTTCTTGAGCTTCTAGTCAGAAGAATTGGCGTTCGGTGGACCGGAAACCAAATTAAGCCAGAATTTTATATACAAGTTTCTTACGATGGGGTAATAAATTTTTTAGTTTTAATCTATGAATTTCGATAATTATCTAGGTCGGAGTCGGAATCGTTGAATTTAGCTCCAACAAGGGTTTTGATGTGTTTTTATCAAGAATTTGACTCAGATTCTAGTATTAACATTGACGGGGACCCTGCAGGGGATATTAAGACAATCTCGGATTTTGATTCTAGGTTTGTTGGTGAAAATTGAGGTTTTGGTACGGGAGGCTAAAACCAGTGTTTGAACAACCAGAACTGGTGAGGGATTAACACGGCATACCGTGTTTGTCGTATCATGATAATTACATTTTTGGTTACAAATGACCTAGGTTAACTAGAATGGCACAATTAGGGGGTGTATGGACTTTTATGCTATATGATGAACCGTGGACTGCTAGGTGATATGATTGCCTTACTTTAATTGTTAGGGACCATTTTTATGTTGATAATTGCATATATATATATATATATACATATACATATATATAGGCACAAAAAGGAATGCACCATCTTAGGGTTTATAGATTATGATTTAGATAATTATGACCTAGGGTTCACTCATTAAGGGTTAGGGTATAATATCATACACAAAAATCCTGGTAATTCGAGGTCTAGATAGTGTTTACATACTCGAGATATGCGGTACCCCGGATTTCACCCGGGGTACCATAGAAGCCACCACATATATATATATTGCTATTTGTGGGGTTAACTGTTGATATGCCTTATGTTGATTTGAGAAGGTGTTTGATTATGAGTTTTGTTTTCCGGCGAGAAAACTTGTGTTGAATCGAATTGATTGCACCTTTTACCTCTTTGGACAACGACTAAGACATGGCTCACTCCTCTTCAAACAAGGTTCGAATGAGGGTGTTTGATTGATGGTGAAAGAAACCTACATATTCTAGGTAAAGTTACTCCTACTCCTTTGGAGGTTCAGCGAGACCTCCATATAGGCAAGTACGACCAAGGCTGCATTGTAGAGAAATGATAAAGTTATAGGGTGTCAAATGGTTGGTTGTGGATTTGGAGAACCCCTTCTCTGTCAAGTCCTCCTCCTATTTACAGCCTTGAGGTGGTAACTGTCGTAGAAAAACCGTCTAGAGAGTAAATTCGGTCTGCAGAGTAACTTCCAAAAAGAACTTCTTCCATTCTTCCTCGGACATGGCTGACGTGTCCTTGAACGTGGAATAATCGACGGTTGCCCAGTTAACCTCATGCTTTCTCTTTTGGAAGTGACGTCTTGTTACTTACCTCCCCTTTACCATGACCATTCCAAATCTTACGACGAGGGCCTTCTAAATCACACGACCGACGTGGTCTACCGAACTCGCGACGAACATTGTCTAGATCTCGCGACCAATGAGGTCTATCAAACTCCACGCGACAATGCCCACTCGCGACCATCGTGGTCTGATCTCTTCCTCGCAACCCACATGGTCTATAAGGTGTTACATACACCCCCCGGGACTGAAGGCCCTCGTTGAGGTTTGCCCCACCATCGCGGAGAGGCTCTGATACCACTTGTAACATCCCGAACTTTTTCCCGACAAAGATATTGTCCGCTTTGGGCCTTAACCCTCATGGTTTTTGACTTGGGGTGCAATTCAAGGTGACTTCCCATAAGGTCACTCATCCTTGTTGTACTCCACATTGAGTACTTTTAACTTTGGAGTTCTCACAAGAACTTCTCCATTTCACCCCAAAATGCGTCTTATCAGTTAAAGCCGTTTTCTTACTTATGAACTATGAATCTCTCCCGTTCTTTGTCGATGTGTGATTCGCCTAACGTGTTATATGTTCATTATTATTTATTTTTGTTGTTGGTTTTTACTTTTAAGCCCAAATCTATTAGGTGCGAGTTAAAGACGACAGACTATCAACTAACTAGTTATCTGGTTTTCCAAAGGCTAGAGATCGGACCCCTTTCAGCCGAATTAAATCTCTTCCCTTTTGAAAAGATTCCAATTTCTACTTCTGAAGAAAGAGTCTCCCTGACAACCAAAGATATGACATTTAGCACTGAAATGGAAAAGAGTATAGTGGTTGGGAAAGCAGCTCTCATGCATTTATGTCATTACCAGTCTACGTGCTATACCCACACCAGCAGTCCTCGGGTTAGTAGTTTTTTACCAATTCTAGTCAACATTAGAGTAACTTTTAGGTGCACCCGGTTTTGGGTTTCAATCAAAACCGCCCGGGTTCCATCCAATTCCAGATGCTCCCTGTTTTCTACACCATATCCCAGCTTGCTGCGGTTACATACAAAAGGGAGGAAAATAAAGCAACAAAAAGCTAATTACTAGCTTAGCCTAGCATGAAGAAACCCAGCCTTGTTGAGGTTCTAATCTTGGCGATGATGGTGGCCCTCCTTTCTCTCACGGCAACAAAATCTGCGGTAGCTGAAGGCGACGACGACGGGAACGGCGACGGTGGAGGCGGCAGTAGTGCTGCTGTTTCCACCTTCACCAACACGTCACCTTCGCCAGGTCATTCTTCTCGGGATGCCGATCGCCCTCCGTTTCCGGATCCTGTGATTTGTATCTGTTTGCTGATTAATATGCTGACTGTCGCGTTGAAGCTTTGGAAGTCATACGTGTTAGGCGAGTTGTTCTGATTTGTGGCCGTTAGTTTGGTTCATGTAGCTTCACAAAGTAGATGTCCCGCGCTAAACTGCATTCACCTCTGTCTCTGTCTCTGTTAGTTTGCACTTCAAACCTCAGTGCTTCATTGTGCAATTAATTTTCTTTGTTTCTTCGCTTGTTTTTTTTTTTTTTGAAGCACTCGGCCTGTGTTTTCTGATTCAAAAATTGTAGTATTTGTGTGTTAATTAAGTAGCTTGTTCACGGGGATATCAAGACTCAAGAGTCGTCATCAAATTAAGAGAGATCAAAAGTAAGTGAGGTTGCTATGAGAACAAACAAGAAGATATGGAACCACAAGCCAAGTACATGCATTATCCCTAATGTGAGTTTAATTCATTAATAACGATATGCGTACTATCTGTGTGCTCAGCTTTAGGGTTCGTTTGCTTAGCTTGTTGGATTTGGATCATGGATTTGGTACTCAAATCCCAAGTTTGATGGATTTAACATAAGTCCATTGTTTGTTGAAGGGTGCTAAATCTGTGGGGTCCACGAATTTGGTCTTTATTTTTGGAACCAAATCCGTGGACCCCACGGACTTGTAAATCTCACATATCGATTTGGGATTTGCAAATCCTTGATGGTTAGTTATTTATTTAACAAATCCATCATCAAATCTATCATGCAAACATTAAACTCTTCAAATTCATAATCCAATAAATCCAACATAAATTCCAAGATTTTTATTGGCCAAAACCCTCATTTTTCAAGCAAACGACCCCTAAATATTGTGATATGGAAATAAGGGTAAAGGTAGAGAGAAATTTAGAGAAATATTGAAGTGTGTGTGCGAAAATGACGAGAGCTTGGATTTGGAAGGCCTTAGTCTCTATTTAGGCTTTCATTGGGCTTTCTGTTGGTCTTTGTAGTGGCTCTGTGCATTTGGGCCCGTATGTATTGAGTAGACTATAGTTATGATACAGGTTCAGTGGCGCGCGTCATATCCTACCGGTCCAACAATTTAGGATTTTTTCCCGAATATACTTGTTTTTAAAAAAAGTTCTCAAAATAAGTACGTTTTATGAAAAATTCCCAATCTACATATGTTTGCTTGAGAAAAAAGCGGTGAATATGCATAATTGCGATTGACGGCCGCGGTGAGTAGGGGTGAACAAACACACCCATAAACCAACCCACCCGTCCAATCCGACCCAACCCACCTGTATTTATTGCTAAAACGAAGGTTTTAGGTTGGGTGAGGGTTTTCTTTTGTACAACCGGCCTCTATTGGGTTGGGTTTGGATTTTGGATTACAAAACCCGTAGAACCCGACCCAACCCGTGTTCCAACTATTGGTAGGAGTTCGTATCCAAAAATATTTATGTCATATATAGCCATACTTATGCGAATATTAAGATATTTCGCCATGTTTTTCTCTCTTGGTCTCCTTAATCTAATGCATTCTTCGGCTTAAAGTTTAGACATAAATTTAATATAGCTATGATTCACGTAATCCTTTTTCTTGTGTACAATTTTAATAGAATAACGTATTACGGGTGCATTCGTTTATAACCTTTTTAGCCTATTTCAACAAATATCGTGAAAAAAACTAGACATATGTTGAAGTAAATCACATTTTATTAAAACTGAAACAACATTTGTGAAATTTGATACCTTTCACCTCGGTTTATTCGTTTGAAATTTAGTTATTTATACCTTTCCAACATTTGTGAAATTTGATACCTTTCCAACATGACAGTCCTGACTCAAAGTAGTTTGGAGTTTCGGCAATGGATAGCTGACATGAAGCTAGTTCATCATGTTGTGCAGGGTTCTTGGTTGACTTGGTGGAATAAGCAAGCAACAAACCCAATAGCTAAGAGGCTTGACAGATTCCTAGTTAGTGGAGAGTGGCTGGATATATTTACTAATAGTGTGGCTCGTACTTTATCTCCTGGAGTATCAGATCATTGTGGATTGTTGATGGATTCTAGTCCAGAAGTTGAGTCTCTTCCGAAGCCTTTCAAATATTTCAAAATGTGGAGGCAACATCCAAAGTATGAGGGGCTGGTATTAGAAGCATGGGATGAGGCAACTTCAGGGGCTTATTATAAACAGTTTTATAGGAAGCTAAAGTTTCTTAAGGATAAATTGAAAAAGTTGAATCGAGAGAGCTATTCTAAGATCTCTGCTAGAGCGAGAGAGGCTGAGTTGGAGCTGGCTCACAGGCAATCTGAAGTTTTGCTTCATCCTAATGAGGACAATACTATTCTTGAATTGGAGCAAGCTACCATCTGTAGTGAATTACTGAAGGCAGAGGAGAGTCTATATCGCCAGAAATCCAGGGTCAGGTATGTTCAGGAGGGTGATGCAAATACATCATACTTTCATCGATTGGTGAAAGTAAGAAATCATAGGCAATCTATCAAAAGACTACTGAAGGATGATGGTACAGAGGTCACAACAGTAAAGGAAATGGGGCAGTTGCAGTGGAGTTCTATCAACAATTATTGGGGAACAAAGATGTAGTTGTACAAGGCAAAACCATTGATTATTATAGAAGTTTTCTGAAGCATACACTTGATACATAAGTTGCAGCTTCTCTATTGACTCCAGTAACAAGAGAAGAAATCAGAAAGGTTTCAAGCATATGCCAAATGATAAAGCTCCGGGGCCAGATGGATTTCCTGCTGAGTTCTATAAGGGTGACTGGGCAATAATTGGGAATCTGTGGAGGAGGTTGTGCTAGAGTTCTTTCGAACAGGCATAATGCCAAAACAGGTAAATTCCACAATTCTAGCTTTGATCCCTACGCTGCCTGTAGTAGATCGAATGAAAATTTTTTAGACCAATCTCTTGTTGCAATGTATTGTATTAAGGGATATCTAAAATACATGCAAATAGGCTGGCAGTAGTTCTTCCTCTTGTTATAGGAAAAGCACAATCAGCTTTTGTTAAGGGTAGGCTAAGAAGTGATAACATCTTAATGGCTTCTAAACTAGTAAAGGATTATCACAAAAGTCTATATCCTCGAGATGCGTGTTGAAAATTGATTTAATGAAGGCCTTTGCATCTATTGATTGTGAATTTTTGTTTAAAGTCCTCTTAGGTATGAACTTCCCAGCAGAGTTTGTTCAGTTATTGGAAGCGTGTGTTAGAACACCTATGTTGAGTGTCTGTTTTAATGGTGGACTGTGTGGATACTTTCCTGCTTGTAAAGGGCTTCGTCAAGGGGATCCCCTGTCGCGCTACTTATTTACAGTTGCAAAAGAGTTTTTCTCTTGTCTCTTACATAATGCCGTCATCACAAATCAAGTGCCCTACCACCCTCGATGCAAGTCTTTAGAGATTTCTCATCTGTGTTTCGCGGATGATCTATTAGTCTTCACTAATGGTTCAGTCAGGGGAGTAATGGGGATTAGGAGCTTGCTTGATGGTTTTTATAGAGATTTTGGTTTAAGGTGCAATGTTGAGAAGTGCCAACTGTTTTGTGCGGGGATACCAGATGAAGAGAAGAGTATGATATTGAGGGTAATAGGATTTCCATTAGATGAGCTGCCTGTCAGATATCTTGGTGTCCCTCTTATCACTTGGAAACTTTCATCCACAGATTGCAAGCTGTTGGTGGATAAGATAACAACAAGAATTACAACATGGCAAGCACACCTCTAGAGTTATGTTGGAATACTGCAGCTTATTTCTTCTGTTGTCACCAGCACAATGCAAAACTGGATGTCCCTATTATTACTACTAATGAAGGTATTGAAAGAGGTGGAGATGTTATGTAACAGATTCTTATGGGGAGAAGGGAGTTTGGAAAAGATGAAAAGAGCACTGGTTTCTTGGGAGAAGGTGGCTAGGCTCAAGGCAGAAGGGGGTCTTGGTATCAGAGACTTCAAATCATGGAACAAAGCGTGTGTGATACGTCATCTGTGGAATCTCCTTGCAGAGGCATGGTCATTATGGGTGGCTTGGATACTTAAGTACAAAGTTAAGCATCAATCCATATGGACTTTGTCTGGGTCTTTAGGTTCCTGGATTTGGCGTCGTATCTTGAAGTGCAGAAGCCTGGCTCAACCTTATTTTTCTGGAGTAGGAGCTACATTGGCATGGGAAGGTAATAATCTTGCTCATTACTCTGTTAAAACTGTCTGGAATTCAATCCGTCCTACTTTCCATACGGTTGACTGGAGTGAAGCTGTGTGGGGAAAGCCGTTTATACCAAAGCACAGCTTTCTTGTATGGCTTATTATTCTGGACAGAATCACCACAAAAGACAAGTTATTGAAATGGGGGATAATAGCTGATAGGAGTTGTGTGTTGTGCCCTGGTGGAGAGGAAACAAGTGACCATCTGTTTGTTAACTGTTCTTATAGCAGGAGTGTGATTACAACCATGTTGCAGAAGATAACACTGGTACCAGGGGCAAAAAGATTCTGGTCAAGGCAGTCGGATAAAACAAAGTTGGTAAGGTTGTGCTGGTTGATTTCACTGAGTTATATTTGGAGGGAACGCTACCAGAGACTTTACGGTACTAAGAGAATCAGGTTGCCTCATCAAATTGTCAAGCAGAGTGCCGAGGAAGTGGAGATTTTTGTCTTGAACAACCTGCAGATAGCCAATTCGATTCATACATATATAATTTGAGTTATATTCTTGTAATAGTGATAGTGTTCTGTTGAAACTTTGTACTAGGAGAAAGGGGTTTTTGCAGGTTGCAAATCCTAGTGCTTAATGCCAAATTTTGATTAACCATAAAAATAGAAGATATAATTGTTAAGTGACAAATGAATTTGACTCATGCTTACAACGAGTGGGTTAAATGGATTCATGGAATAGATTCTTGATTTCATGAATTAGATTATATGGATTCATAGATCCGAAGGACATCTAAGTTTTGGATCATTTTGTAAAATTTTAGGTACGAAAGAGACATCTAAGTATTAGAAATCAATTTTTTATATGAATATTTTAATAGATATAAAATGAAAGTGCTAAACTATAATTATCCACCAATTCATTGCATTCAATAGAATCAAAATCGCGCTTCCAAACTTAAATGTTAAAGCTTATGCTTTACGCTTCTAGATTACCTTAAAGATTTAGTTTCCATATAGAAGCTACAGTGTTTGAAATGTAGCAAAATAGACTATAGATATGGTGAAGGCGCTTAAAATCTCGCTTATACCCTGCTTTTATGCGATTTTGTGTAACATGTAATTTATGAAATTTAACATCATTTTTCCTTACTAGAAATTGAAAACAAAATGAAAGAAAAGTCTAAACAAACATAGAATCATTGAACACTATCATCTCATCCCCGAACTCCACTCCTTATTCTTTCACTCCTTCCAATAAGTCATACTAGTGAACTGGATTCAAATTATCACCTTTTGTTTTCTTTGTTTGATGGTAAGAATCTATAGAAGACTAAGTATCATATTATGGATGAAATAAATATCCCTAATTAGATGCATTAAACCATACCAGTGGACTGGATTCAAATTGTCACCTTTTGTTTTCTTTATTTGATGGCAAGAATTTATAGAAGACTATGTGTCAACATTATGGATAACTATCACTAATTAGATGCTCTTCATTATAAATAATGAAGTATATTCACTTTTGTAATTGATGCAAGTATAGCCATTAAGTTGGTCTTAGTCTCGTTGAACTAGAGTAGACAAAAATCGAAGTAAATCAGAGAACACAAAGATAGATATGGATGACAAAACCCAAAGCCACCAAACCAATGCTTCAATTGAATGGCATCACTACATCAAATGAAGTGGACCACAATGGGGATGATGACCTATCCCTAATTGGAATCCACACACACAAGAGAAAGAAGTTGAAATTCCTCCAAGGAATTAAAAAAAATCAAAAGCTTAATTTTGACCATAGTTGTATGTGAGTTATTGTAAACTCGTAGGTGTTACAATCTCTATTTATAGAGGTCATAAAATCCTAAAAGAACAGTAAAATATAAGGAAAAACCATACCTTACGGTGTTAAGGAAAACCAGTTCTAATAGGACAAGGTAAACACAATCATGAAGAAGGTAGGATAGCTTTAGAAGCTACTAGAAGAGTTTATGGATGACCTCCTTTCTTATCCTAGTTATAGAGGGGGGGGGGGGGGGGGGGGGAGGTTTAGTCATTTTTCTCCTAAAATCAACTAAAACATTCCATGTACGACTTGAAATTGGATTTCTTCGACTTGGAGACGAAGTAACCTTGAAGAGGATGTTTCTGAAGAACTTGGGCCCGTGCGGCGGCTGGATGGCGGTCGGTTCCGCCGCTGTATTTTGTCTCTGAATTGGCATGTTTTTGGTGGACAACTTCGTCTTAAACTATTCCTCAAATTCCACCTCGTTTGGACTTTGTTTGACCCTCATGTTCTTCAAAATACTATTCTCTAGTCTATAACATGAGCATATGGCTAGTCTCAGAATCCATCTCTGTTTGAGCCCATGAATTAGTATTCTCGTCCTCCTTCTTATCCATATCCGTCTTGAGTGCATTATATCTTTGAAAAGCACAAAACAAAACCAAAAGGTGTAAAAAGTGCCAAGACACACTCAAAGTCTATCATTAGCTCATCAAGGTCTATCATAAGCTCATATATAAAATATTTATGAATTCTATACGAAATAAAGTAAAAACCACTAAAGATGCATTGATAGAAGGAAAATGTATCAAATATGAGAGTGATAAACACTATAAATTGAGTGTCATCAAAACCTATCTTACATGATGTTTGAACTTGTATTACATTATTATAAGAAGGAATATGGTGATATGAAAGATGATGTTCTATTGATTGTATGTGTTGAACATAAAGCACCAGTAGAAGCTGAGCCTAAGATGCTAGATCTTGTGTGTGATGGATTTTCTGGAAGTTAAAATGGCTTAGCATAATGCAGGATAGTGGTTCTTGTACTCAGGACTCAACCAACATCAATCATATAAGTTGTGGCGAAAGTTGGTTCACTGAAATTGACACCAATTTTCAGTGTAAAGTAAGATGGAAAATGAATTCAAACTTGAAGTGGCTCGAAATGGAAAACTGAAGCTTATGATAGATAAATTTTATTTTAATAGTTCATGAAGTGTTATATGTACCTGGACTAAAGTATAATTTGTTTAGTGGTTTGTTCGTACACTACTATCCCAATCGAAGGCCAATTATAACCAACGATCGGATGTAGTATATTGGAAGTAAGCTTTAATTATCAACCCGAGCGACAAATCTACTATTACTTTGTGAAATATTTGTTATCTAGCAAGTCGAGGTTTGGATTAAGTTATCAACTAAGAAGTAATGCAAGTAAAGATGGGTTCGAAGTCTATTGAGAGAGTCACTCAGCTATGCTTCCCTCCAACCACAACTTAGGTTGATGATTGACATTCCAAGCATGCACTTTCAAAATTTGAACCGCGGAGATTCCTAAACCCGTTTGCACTCCCTATTCGGGTTATCCAAACTCACCTAGGATGAACTATCCGGAGGGAGAGTTTCCACATCTGGCAAAATACAACTCCTAAGGCATGCAATTTTGGCTCTCACTAAAAGATATCGATCCAATACAGCATTGTAGTCCAATATCACACTCGATCAATTGACCCAGAAAGAAGACTTGAGAAATTGCTTTAACTTACTTAATTGGATATTCTCTAGCTTATGTTAATAACACAAATAGAAGAGTTTAAGCAATACCCAGCCAATTCAATATGTAATCAAAAGTGCACACAAGCATATGAATCATTCAATCATCAAATCCTACCTTATATAGCTACAGTTCTACACGCCCAAGTGAATATAAGTTCTACTCCATAGTAAGAAAAACAGGAAAAATCACAAACGCAAGAAGTTAAATCATCATCAAAAGGATGGGTTCTTCTTCTAGAGATCCAATCTTTCCTCATTGGGTTGAAATCTTGCCTTCACTTGGGAATTGAAGCCTTGAATCACCACCTATGGTTCCTTGTTCGTCACTCTCTCTCTCTCTCTCTTGGAGGCTGTTGCTTTCTCTCTCCAAGAATTGTCCTCTTAAAAAATGTCTTCAACTCCAATTTTTACCCAGAAGTTCCAAATTCACGGTTGAGCATCAAACCCGTGACATTGATAGGTAAACCTTGATGTCGAACTGAAGTGCATTGTTTCATTTACAAGTCTCATGGTTTTGTTGCAAATCTCATGGTTAAAACTATGACATCTTTAAGTGTCCGCAAATTTTAGTTTGGATCCTAGAAGCTTGCAATTGTCAGGGTCTCTTCTTTGGAATTCTCAGTTTGGACGTGACTTTGTGCTCCGAACCATGACTTTCAACAACTTCTTCACTTTGCCTTGGTTTTGACTCCAAATGGCCTAAAATCATTCATTTTGCCATATTCACATGCTAAGACATTAAATATACTCAACCAAGCACAACCTAGCATGAAACGGCCTAAAGAGTGACTAACCGCAAGTCCAATGATCATGGAAAGGAGTGAAAATACGTATAATTAAACCCAATTCAGTAATGTTGGTCAGGTACATGAGAAATGGCCGATCTTTATGATCAAGAATGGTTAATGCAAAGTTTTTCATGAAGAAAGGGGTCCTCTTTTAGAAACTTAGATGAAGATATATGTTTCTTTTTCATGCTGAACAGAAAGATAACACTTCCAATATTAAGTGTTTGCAAACTTGAGATGTAAAAAAAAAAAAAAACTCTAGATCTATGGTATCACAGATTTAGACATCTGAATCTACACTCTCTAATGCAACTACAACAAAAGAAACACTCTTTCCAAAGAAGAGCAACTTGAGGGCTACTCAAACATTCCAGTTGGTGCATGCAAATCTCTATTTGGGAAGGCAATCAAACCCACCACCGCAGGTACCGACCGTCCCTGACACAGTCAACACAGATAGTCCCTGCATTGACTAGGTATGGGTAAAACACACACAAAATTTTGATGGGGATGTGACGGGCAATGTAGTCAAATCGCGTTTTAAGTCGTAAGTACGTATATTTTTACGTATCTAGGTCACCATAACTTTTCAATTTTCACCTAAAAAAGTTTTGCTAGTAAAATCACTCAAAAACCTTGGTGGAAATGTTAAAATCGATGGAAACGGTAAAAAACCCGTATTATTAGCATTTCTGTGCCTTTTCAGCCAATGACCAGAGAATGCAAAAATTCATCAAAACTACGTCATTTTGGCCTTACAAAATTGAAAAAAATTGTGGAAACACGGATGGGGCTATCTGTCGACTTCTCAAACAACCTAACATTTCAATCCCCAAATTGAGGGTTGGGACTTCAAGCAGGGCAAGCCGAGGTGAGGGCGATCAGTGGGCAGCGACTAGTCTCCACCGTCAAGCAGACACGCCGCGACCTCCACCGCCACCGCAGATACGGTGGTGCTACCTCCATCTCCGAAGACACTCAGCAGACCTCCATTGTGTGGGACGGTTCGGTGGTGGGTGATAGCTAATAGGCTGATAGCTAACTTCCTTCCGTCTTCGAGCGGCCTCCATCGTTCGTCGCCAGCAGACCCGCCGCATCCACAATCACCAGCTGCAGCTCGGCGCTGCATCCACAGATCCGCTCACCTTCTGGTATACTGCTGGCTGCTGCTATTTCATTATCATCAATTTTGGGTCTTGGCAGCCAACTCCTAGCCCCTGTTTTGTTTCGTTTTCATTTGATCGGTTCCTTTAATGGAACACACTTATAAATCATTTGATCGTTTTTAGCTACTCTATAGGATGCATAAAAAACTTACGTTTTTACGTTTTGATTCTATGTTTTATGATTTTACCCATTTTTCGTTTCTAAATAGAATCGCACTTTTGACTACATTGGTGGCAGATATGGTTTTAGACTCCTCCATCACACCAAGAGTATTTATATACGGATCATATTTTCATCTCTCAATGAAAATGAGAGTAATTCAAAAAATAAAGAGTTGAAATGTAATTGATTGGTCGCTCAAACCTAACGGTAATTTCTTTTCATTTATTCATTCATCACTCACTCTTTCACTTCTCCCCCTGGTTAACAATAGTATCTTAGTTATTTGTTGTTTAGTAGATGGATGGAGTCGAAAATGAATAATTTGGATATTATATACTATTTATATGGATTAATGAGTGTTTTACAGTTGGATGCACTGAATTCTTATTAGGAATGGTTATAGCTTCGTTAATTTCATGATCTATTAGGTCAGTTTAGTGTTATAACTGAATGTCTACATGTTGAATTGAAGGTATATAACGTCAAATATATGGGCGGATATTACCCACTGGTACACAAAAACTGCAGATACAGAAATGATGCTGCAAATCTTCCCCGTATGGGTATGAGGCTGGTATGAGTTTAATTATTTTGAAATGGGGATGGGGATGGTTTAGGAAAACCTGCCCTGGTCTCTTTGTATGTATCAATCATTACAGTCTCCAACGAGGGAAAATGTATATCTTGGCTCTCATTGATGACTATAGTAGAAAACAGTGAGTACACTTCACAGTAGCTAAATTCGAAACACTTGATTACTTCAAAAGGTTTAGGGTGCATGCAAGTAGAGAGAAAGAAACCGGTACGCCCATTATGTGTCTTAGGATATATAGGGGGAGAATTCTTGTTGAATGAATTCAAATTTCTATGTGTAGAAGTAAGAATCAAAAGACAGCTTACAATTGCACTCACTTGTCAACAAAATGGAGTGAATGAGAGAAAAAAAAAAAACATAACTTTCATGAACATGGTGAGGTGTACGTTGGAGGACAAGAAAGTAATAGCAATATACAGCCACCACAACTGAGAAACGCTAGCTAAGAGGTTGAAGGAGAGGGTACGTAGCTGCAAATCACCAAGCCCTCAACAAACCACTTTCTAACTAATTGGGTCTCACAACACTCTTCTCAAACCCACTATACTCAACTATGTACATCTTTAGGCCCTAATTACTATATCATCAAATACAGAACTTAACATATTGATGTGGTTGACAGACACTTGGTATAACTAGATTGTAAATGAACTGGGTATAACTCCATTATATTGTACATGAAGATCTTGTTGCTTAAAAATATATATGGTCCAATATTATAGCTTTGACCCACAATGAGTTAAAAATTATTAAACTATGATTGGTATTTATTACACAATACTTAGTTACATTGATCATCAAATTCCCCCACTTTCCAATTTATGGTCGGCGACGTTCTCTTCCTCAATCCGGTTCTTCTCCTTTGACTCTTTTGCCACATCATAAGTCGCATGCATCCCAATAAAGACGTAGTAAACCAACAACAACGCCGTCCACATGCCAAACCTCCCAAACGACGCCTTATCGATAGAACCCAGCAAGAAAATGTTGACCATGATCGATATCGACGGCAGCCACGGCACCAACGGGACTCCCCACAACGTCGGCTCCCTCGCCTGCGGCACCGCCACGGCAATCCCTAGAGTAGCCAGAAACCATATCGCCACCGTAACCACATACCCAGCCCACCCATCTACCCTCAACCCCCATAAAGTCGCCGTGGCAACGGCGCTCCCCAGAATCCCCACAATGCAGCCGACCAGCCTCAACTGATCGGCCTTCTTTGTGACCCCGGAAACGTAATAGCGACGGACCAAGAGGGCTAGCGCCACCAGCATGAAAATGAAGAGCGTCGAGATGGAGAGAAGGTTTGACAAGATGCTAAGCTTGGTAAAGAAGGCGACGACGGCCGTGGCTCCGAGCATGACGACGGTGGCGTTGACCGGGGTGCCGGTTCTGGAGTTGACTTGGGCGAGCCAAGGTGGCATCATGTGGGTCCGGGCTATGTGGGTGAGGTAACGGGCCTGGCCCACGGCGCTGGCGAGCAAGGCCGTGGTCATTCCTTGGAGGGCCCCGGCGGCGACTATGTACTTGGCCCAGTTTAGCCCGACGGTCTCGAATGCGACGGAGAAGGCCGCGTCGGCGTCGAGGTTGGTGTAAGGGACCATCAAGCAGAGGACGACGGCCAGGAGGCAGTAAGTGATGACGACGATTATCATGGAACCCACCAGCCCCACGGGGATGTCCTTGCCCGGGTTCTTGGTCTCCTCGGCCATGGTCGAAACGGCGTCGAACCCGACATAGGCGAAGAAGAGAACGGCAGCGGAGTCGAAGATGCCCCGGGCGTGGTAAGGAGCGAAAGGGGTGAAGTTTTTGACGTCGGCTTTGCAGAAACCGGCGATGATGATGAAGACAATGGCCGCCACGTGGAGGATGGAGGCGACGTAGTTGAAGCGGGAGGATCCCTTGGTGCTGAGGACGGCGAGGACGCAGACGACCGCGGCGACGGCGACGGCAATGGGGTCGAGGTGGCCATAGTTGTCGGGAAGGCTGTGGGCTATGATGCGGAAGTCGTCAGGTTTGTGGTTGCAAAGGGTGGCGAAGTAGGATGTCCATGAGCGGGCCACGGCGGCGCCACCGATGACGTACTCGAGTAGGATGTTGCCGGCGGCGATGAAGGCCATGAAGTCGCCCAGTTCTACTCTTAAGTAAGCAAATGAGCCACCTGATAGAAAGGAAACACACAAGAATCGATTGGTACTACTACTCATATGAATATAACTTATTTTTCACTCAATTTCATTAACCGATTGACCACTTTTTTTTTTCATCCATCCATTCTTATTAATAAATTATATAATTCCCTCAACTTTTCCTTGTTAATCACGTGATTTTTTTTATATTTAAACAATTTTATAATATTTAAGTTAAAAAACTAGTTTGTGCCAATTATTTTATCAAGTTAAAAAAAAACATTTTATTTGTATTTTAGTTAAAATAAGGGGAATTTTGCAATGCTTTATTGTATCAATGGTTTGTTTAAAAGAATATATATTTATGATACAAACCGAACTTGTACTTTTGACATTATCGTACAAATTTAGTTTGTAGGTTTTTTTTTTGTAAAAATTTATATATTATACAAGCTGAACTTGTACCTTTGGCGTTATCTATACTATATACTATACATGCATGTATGTCACGTTGAGTTAGAACATGAATAAAAAATCAAACGTCGTGAAAAGATCAATTTATTTAGAGTGTTAATTATCCCTACTATAAATTGTTAGTAGAAACATGCAAATTACCCCACTAGTCTCTTGATCAAAGTTTGGATGTAACAATCTTTCATACTTATGTATTTCTGACATCGGAAGAAGAAAGTTGAAAAGAAATTCTCACAACAACAAAGTTTTATTGTGAACATGACAGTTCCATTCTAAGTGTTAGTTACTCCGTTTTATAAAGTCAGAAATTGATTAATTAATTCAAAATAATTAATTAAACAGCCAAAAAACTATTATAGAAATTCGAAATGAATTAAACACACTTATGCTTTCCTTTTCTCCCGGCCTGGTATTTATATATCAGAGACCAACTGTAAACACGTTGGAGGTGTAATATATAGTGCCATCTTCTTGTCACTTTCTTGGCGCGCGGTGTATTTTACTATTTTTCTATCCGAAAGTTTGTGGCGAATCCTGCCGGAACCAGCCAAAAGATAAGCTAGCTAGGGGGGGGGGGGGGGGGGGGGAATAACGTACAAAAGTCCGGCCGCCGGCAGTCTTTGTTTTTAATGCCGGCGTTTCATATATCTAATTATGACTCGTTTGAAAGTTGCGATTGTTCTGTTGAGATTGCCATTATATATATATATTGTTTACAATGTATCGTTTTTTTGTTTTTTTAGCAGAAATAATACATGGATTGTTTCTGTGATGTGACAGAAACTATCACTCATTTTGAGAGATTGTTATATCTCAACTTTTAGTTGTGATTGTTGAGACAGTTGAGTTGAGATTGTTTTGTCTTAGCTTTTAGCTGATGCGACATACACAATCACATATACCAAACGTTGTATTCTACAATGCATCAAATTCGGTCGTTTGGATGCAGTATTTTAATGAGGTAATTTGGTCGAAATAACTCAGAATGAGGTATTTCAATCAAAATAACTCGTTTGGCAAAATTAAAGTTGAATGTGGTATTTTGTCCATGAGACAATTGAAATAACTCATTGTGAGTTATTTGAAATACCTACCCACCCCCTAGTTATTTGAAATACCTCATCTCCCAACTTCTTTTTCTACTTCATCCCTTCTTTAATTAGTGAAATACCACAATATTTGAATGTTTTATCCAAACAAGACAATTACATCAATTACCACATTTCAAAATGAAATACCACATGAAATGCCACATAGCAAAATAATGCATCATTTAGATTCGAAATACCATAGAACCAAAATGATGCATCCAAACGACCCGGTATAATATTATACATGCATTCTCAACAATACATAGGTAAAATATGCCCCTCTACTATGACGATTTATCAAACATGCTCTTAACAATTTTTTACATGAAACATGCCTCTGTACTTTGAAAAAATTATTAAACATGCTATTCTGTTAAAATTTCCATCCAAAATACGTTAACAAAGGCCGAACTTTGGTTTGGTGACACAAATGTCTAATATATCCCTAATAATTTCACTTTATAATTTTTATGGGTCTTTTGTATAGCCAAATAATTCAAATAATTTCACTTTGAAGAGACCCAACTAAATAAAACGAGAGACAAAACTGACATTTTTCGCTCCCATTTGTAGATGTCGGGTCGTCTAAATCTCGGTTCAACAATGATTGATGATTTTTTCAATGGAATGTTTAATAGAAGGGCATGTTTGATAATTTTTTCAAAGTACATGGGCATGTTTGATGTAAAAAATAGTAGAGGGGCATGTTTGATAAAACTTCATAATAGAGGGACATATTATACATATAACCCTACATATATTTAACAATCGCAACTTCCAAACGACCCCTTAGTTTCCGAAACCATGGAAATTAATATAAAAAGTTAAAAACCACAACCAAAATAAGACAAAATCATCTTCTTTTCTTTCTTTTGTTTAGTTTTGTAAGGTCCAAATTACACTATCAAGTTGGAACATTTTTAGAGTCTTACGTTTCAGAAACTTCCTGCAAACCTACAAATATTATTATTATTATTATTATTATTATTATTATTATTATTATTATTATTATTATTATATGTTATGGACAGCTGTCAGCTGGTACTGGATTGATTTTTGTGGTGTGTGGTGTGGAGGAGGGCACACAACATAAACATATACTAACCTGCAACGGGGATTTCGACGGCGAACTCGGTGTAGCAGAAGACGGAGAGCATGGCAGAGAAGCCGGAGACGACGTAGGAGAGCAGCACGGCGGGGCCGGAGTGGTCGCGAGCTTCGAGGCCGGTGAGGACGAAGATGCCGGCGCCGATGACGGAGCCGATGCCGAACCACATGAGGTCCCACCAGTTGAGGGTCTTCTTCATCTCGTGCTCGCTCTGGGCCTTCACCTCGTGGAGCTCCGTGGAGTCCATGGACCGGGCCAGGACCCGATCCGCGAACCGCTTCGGCGTCTCCCTCATCGCCCGCCCATAGTTGGCCCAGCTCCGGAACGACTCCTCCGGCAGGAACTCGTCTTTTGTGCACCCTCTCTTCCTCACCACGCCACCGCCGCCCGCTTCCCCTTCGCCGGCGTTACCCACCATCTCCGACTTTAACACAAATTATTATAATTAATTACTTTGCAATCATAAATTGGGTTTTGTTGTGGGTTGATATATTGTTGTAGAGTTAAAGCCAAAGTAGCCAAAGGGAGGCATATACGAAGGAGGGAAGTTGAGGTTTGTAGTATTAATTTGCTAGTTATTATTTTGAGCTTAGGGGTTCCATTAAATAATAAAGTGATGATTGAACCAGCATTACAGAATCTTAATCTTACGGTAGAATGCATCCAAATTCAAGTGGGAAAAGGATTTGAATTCAATTACCATCATTTTCCCTTCTGCCGTTTCAAGGAATCAATCAGTTTAATTAATTGGTTAGGTGATTTCCAAGCAACTTCGCCGGCACAGGATCAAATGATTATGCAATACGTAATTTTTTTTTTTTCAATTTAATGGGAGGTAGAAGCCAATTATGTCTTCTGTCAAATATTTTGAGAGTGGTACGTAAATATTGATATATGAATCATCATTCTCATTACCATATTAGATGTTTACTTAGAGTTAAACCCCTATTCCTACATTTTGATACCTCCTTTATGTTTCATTATCTCTCATTAATATAAGAATGTATTGGTTACCAAGGTGTGCCTATAAATAAAGCACACATTAATTAAAAAGATAAAACCCACAAACAAGATTGTCAAACCGGTTTATTCCAGTGTGCCAGTTTAGCATGTGGAATGGTTTGACCAGTGGCACATACCCGTTTGTGCCGGTTCATGCCGGTCAATATTACAAATAAAATTAGAAATACTCATATTTAAACATGACATTTAACGTCAATACCTAAACATTTATACTTGAATCCAACAAATAACATCAATATTTAACTTTTATACTCATAAAATAAATTATAAAATAATTTTTATCAATTAAATTCACTAAAATAAGGTCATTTTACTTAGAGATTCGTAAATCGATCATGCCGGTCATACCGATGATGTCATGTCGGTTTTATGATCGGTATCGGTTGAACTAGGTACAACCGGTGACACGCCGGCCGGCGTGACAACCATGCCCACAAATGACCCGTTCACTGTATACGTAGAGACCTTTTACTGGTCATTTAGACTCAATTTTACTGTAGCAACTTAGCGTGGGATCTGGTGTGGGAGGGTGCAGGGTACTATCTGGTTGGACTAGTTGGGTTTCGATGGCTGGTCCCATCGGACTGCTGATGGGATGCATTTGGTTACCTTTTGAGCGGTCTTTGTGTGGGTGTGGTGCTCTCAGTGTTGGTCACAAGTATCCTTTGGTGGGCCTGGTGCTTTTTGCCCGTCTTCGCCTGTGAGGAGAAGGACTTGAAGAGATTTGTGGTCATTCATTGAAACAGTGGTGGAGATGGTTCTTTGAGGTGGCCGTGAGACAGCGGTGAGGAAGAGAGGCTGGAAGGATAAGAGTTTTCCCGTTGTTCTAGGTGATAAGAGTGGACTGTGGTCTCTGAGCAATTTGGGTATGAGAGATATTTGGTGTTTTGCTTGGCAGGTTATAAGCCACGTAGCTCTTTTGTTCTAGGCCATTCGTTTAACCTACCCAAAGTAGTTCTCTTTTTTGGATGAACGAAAAGACAGACAAGCCATCTTGAGATTCCTTTCCCAATCTCCCTCTCTCTCTAAATTGGCTATCAACAACATTGTTGTATCTCTTCTCTTCATTTTCTCTCTCTCATCTCAAGTCCATGGTCGTTGCGAACGACTGGGAAATCGCCCCTGAACCCACCAGTGACGACTGACGAGAATCCATCACCAGCTAAGAGTTGAAGACAATATTTGGAACTATGAACCAGAGATGATGCGGGGAAGATCCAGATCGTACCTTATTGTTGAATTCAGGTGATTATTTCTTCTCTTTGCCTCTATTGAGTTGTTTTGGTCAGTATTGTTTGGTGGATTCCAGGATATGAAATTGGGAATATGAAACTGAGGTGTGTGTTGGTTTCTCTCATCTCAGTTTGTGAGTTAAGCGGACCTCAAAGCAATCAGGTGGCTGGTGACGGATTCGAGAGGCTGAGGGAGAGAGTGGAAGAATGCTCAGATCCACAGGTTCTTTGGTGTCTTCTTCCTTCTCTCTTTCATTCGTGATTTTGTTCTACTTTGTTTTTTTAGATTGTTCATGTTTAGGGTTTAATTTTATTTCTTTTCGGCAGAGATTTCGCACGATGAGGCCAGTGATAAGCCGTTAATTGCACATGTTTTTACCCCTATTCTGGAGCCGTTTGAGATGGTAATTCTCGTGTTTTAGGCCGATTTCACGCTAGGTTGTGTTTGTTTGTGATATTTCAGGTCCTAGCAAGTGAATGAAGGTTTAGGAGCGAGTTCGGGGTCGATTGGACGAAGATCGGGCGCGAGGCAAGTAAAAAAGGAAGCCACACGGGCACACACAGAAGCCACACGGCCGTGCAAGTGACCACTTTGGCCGTGTGGAATTATGCGAGCCTTCACACGGCTAGCCCTGATATTCACACGGCCGTGTGAAGTTGCATTTTGGCCGTGTGGATTCTGCGAGGCTTCACACGGCCAGGCTGGGTGAGCTGCACGGCCGTGTGACCCTGGCCGTGTAGAAAGCCTGAAGTGCAATTAACCGGAACGCGGCGTTTTGAAGTCACACGGGCAACTGGGTATGCCACACGGCCATGTGGGCCTGCCCATGTGAGTCGGGAATTTCTGGGTTTTTACCCAATTTCAGGCTGAAAGTGGGAGAATCGAGTTTTGAGAGCAAAAACAGAGCCCTAGAGAGAGAAAGTACGAAGAACACATCCTAGAAGCTATCTTGGAGCTAGGTTTCATCAAATCAAGCTTGGAGATCGTCATAGGAGTGGAAATCATCATCCCAGAGCAGATTTTCCTCATCTTTATGAGTATGACTACTCTGTATTCTGTTTTCCTCTCTCTCTCTCTCTCTCTCTCTATGGAGTAGAACCCTTCTCTCACTTGGGTATGAAGAACCCTAGTTCTATGTGTTAGGGATTTGATTGTAATGACTTGGGATGATATTACTGCTTGGTTTTAATCGAATGATGCATGTTTATTGAGTCAATTGGAGTCTGATCAGCTTTTCCTGATTTCTGCTGCAACCTGAGATAGATAGAATCTGATTAGGTTGTTAGAGCCTCATCATTCGATAGTAGGAGATTGGCTATACGAGAGTTAGCCAGTTTACTGCTTTGTACTGGAATTCAATTCCAGTAGTGGAGTTCTATTCTTACTGCTTCAGCTTTCTATCCCGGTGAAGACTAGTCGTCTGCCGGGTAGTTAGTCTGAAAGGGCTTGGTCAGCTTAAGAGATTCCAAGATATTGTCGGATCTTCCGCAGTCTAATCAACAGTAAATCAACACAGGGAAATTACAATTGAAACCTAACTAAGGAGCTAGGGGGACTCATTCCCGAGTGACTCTTCTTTGCTTGAGAAAATCGTACCAATTCCTGCTTTCTTTCTGCTTTTGCTTTAAACAACAAACACTTAACTTAGTTGGCTAGATAATAGATAATCACTGAGTAAGCAGTAGATGTAGACCCCGGTTTGATAATAGAACTTGCTACTTTAATGCATTCCCGGTCTGCGATTACACTTGGTCGCAGATTGGTGTTGTGTTTTGGAGTGTCAAGTTTTTGGCGCCGTTGCCGGGGACCCTCTAGGTTATTGGGGAAACGTGCAAATCTGTTACTCTAGCTTTTTCTTTACTGCATTTTATCTTTTCCACCTGTGTGCCTTCACCGGTTGCTTCTGTTGATTGTGTGCAGGTAGTGCATGACCCGTAGCCAGTCGGGAGATCTACTACCGCTAGACCAGGAGCTTGAACGGACCTGCAGAAACTTCAAGCGGGCTCTAAAGGCGCGACTGGCTGCGGAGGAGGCGCTAGCACAACTGCAGATTGCTGACGAAGAGGAGATGGCTGATCCACAGGACCATGATGTAGTCAATCCCGAGGAGCAGACCATGGGACATTACTGGACCGCCAGGGCTGCAGACATGAGGTCACCCATTCAACACCCTCATGTCCCAGCTAATAATTTTGAGGTGAGCACCTCAGTAATCACCATATTGCGCGGTTCAGTGATGTTCCGTGGCAAAGAGGGGGAGTGCCCTCGATCACATCTCAGGCGATTCCACGAGCTCATTGATGGAATCAAGATCAATGGGGTCCCAGCAGATGCCATCCAGCTGAGGTACTTCCCATTCACCCTGGAGGGGCAGGCCAAGGAGTGGCTAGACACTCGACCTCCGGGCTCCATCACCACGTTCGCCAACCTGGCGGACAAGTTCCTTACCCGCTACCATCCTCCGTTGAAGACGGCGGACTTGCAGAAGCAGATCACCCACTTCACCCAGGATGAAGATGAGACCATCCGGGATGCTGGGGAGAGATACAACAGTCTCTTCCTGAGGTGTCCCAATCATGGTTTCAACGATGCTTTCAAGGTGGGAACCTTCTATCATGCCCTCTTCCCAAAAGACAAACAGCTGATTGACTCAGTTTGTGGCGGGAACATGCTGACCAAAACACCGCCACAGCTGAATCAACTCTTTGAGGAGATGGCAGAGAACGGGTATGATTGGGGCACTGCTAGGAGGTCGAGGAGAGCACCAAGCCGAGGTGTACATTCTGTGGGAAACCATTCCTCTGATTTGGTTCAGGTGGTGTCGAAGCTGGTTTCAGCTATCGATCGTTCCGGGATGATTCCAGGGACCGGACAGCAGCAAGCGATGCTCTGCCAGTGGTGCGAGAGCACCCATCATACAGTGGAAGACTGCCAGGCGATGAAGGAATCGACCACACCCCAGGAGCAGGTGAACTTCATCAATAATGTCAGGCGCAATGACCCCTACAGTAACACCTACAATGAGGGGTGGCGCCAGCATCCCAACTTCTCCTGGGGTGGGGCAAATTCCAGATCACCAGTCCCCCAGGGACCACCGAGCTTCCAGAGGCCACCATATCAGCCCAGACAGGGGCAATTCCAGCAGCAGCAGCAGTCTCTCTA